CCAAACCCCTAAACGCTAAACCCCAAGCCCTAGACCCTACACCCAGAACCCTAAAACCCAAGACCTACTGCATTTAAGAAACTAGACTTTCACCCCCCACCCAGAACCCAGGAAGCTCAATACCCCTTAATTAAGGCGTACAGCTTAAGCCATATTAGGGGTCCTACTATAACCTTAGGTATATTCCTGAATTAAGGGGTACTGAGGTCTCTGGGAGCAAACCCTAAACCCTGAACCCCAAACCCCAAACCCTAAACCCTAAACCCTAAACCCTACACCCCACACCCCCCATGATCGTTTGAGGTGCCCTGAAAGCGCCGAGTTCCATCCCGGTTGCAGGCTGCCGTGGCGAAGTGCACTTGGGGTAGGAGTTTAGGGGTTTTTAGGGTTCTTAGTGTTCTTGGGGTTTAGGGTTTAGGGTTTAGGGTTTAGAGTTTTAGGGTTTTTAGGGTTCCAGGGTTTAGGGTTTAGAGTTTAGGGGTCCAGGGTTTAGGGTTTAGGGTTTAGTGTTCCAGAGTTTATTGTTTTCGGGTTCCAGGGTTTACGGTTTATGGTTTGGGGTTCCAGGGTTCCAGGGTTGAGGGTTTAATGTAGGGGCGTATATCATTGTCTACATGATTTGGGTTCCTTATTATAATTATAGTAGAGTATACCCTTAAGCTCTATTCTTATTACTAAGGCCGCTACAGGAGGGTTCCATTCTTATTACTAATACCCTTAAACCCTAAACCCTGAACCCTAGACCCTAATCTCTAAAGCCTAAACCCTTAACCCTAAAGCCACTAAGATGATCTTAGGCCCCTCAGTAGGCAGCTTAAGCGTTTAGGGTTTAGGGTTGTAGGGTTTTGGGGTTTAGGGTCTAGGGTTTTAGGGTTTAGGGCTCAGGGTTTTAGCTAAGTCTGCATCTAAACAAGCTATATATGTTGGATGTTGTTATGCTTCTGGCAAGGCACTGGTAGGAACAATCCTAGATCACTTGGAATGAGGTGGACATGTCTCAATGATGAAAACCCTAAACCCTAAACCCTAAACCCTGAACCCGAAGCCTAAGACCCCAAACGGTGAACGATAAACCTTCAACCCCAAACCCCGAAGTTCAAACCCCACACCCTAAATCCCCTAAACCCAAGCCCTAAGCCCTTCAACCCTACATCTTAAGGCGGGGCTTTAGGCCCTTTGCCTCTGCATTCGGAGGCTAATCGTACGACCCTTCAACCAGAGTTGCACATGAAGTAGAGTTGCTCTCGAGGGACAGTTTAGGGTTTAGGGTTTA